ATGTGGCTACCATCCATAGGAGAACCATGGGAACTGGCAGGCAATGAATGACTGGCATGTAAAAGTTTTTTTTTTTTTCCTTCTTCTTCTACTTCTCCTTCTTGAAAACAACCTTGGCGAGCCATCAGATGAAAAAAATCTATTCTTCTGCCAGCTCTTACCCAGTGCCAGTGTCGGGCTATTTAAAGCTCTCTGAGAAGTGGTATGGGGGAAGGTTGCATCAAACCAGTGTAACAAGTTGCATCTTTTCCCTCCATATTGAAAATAAGAAGACGCTGAGCTCTCTTTTCTGCCCAGACTTGACTCAAGTTAAACATCCAAGCCTGTAACATAAATGTACACTGTAGGAATCCATAATAAAGTACCACAGTTGAAACTAGCAACTGCATTTTCGATGTAAGAGCATAATCCTTATTGTTACTGGGAAGTCTGGATCCTGCCACAACAGAGGTTTTTTTGTTATATTACATGCCTACCAACCAAGACCTTTTATTTTATAGCTCCCTATGGTAGGGAGAGGAGAAAGAGTGGATTTAAGTTTCCAGGGAGCTGTCGGCCTTTGTAATAAGGTACATGGCTCACTGCTAGTTCACAAAGGGGGTTAGCACTAGAACTGCGGTGAACTATTCATCCTGCCAGCAAGCTCAGGTGAACACAGTGCTCGGAGCCAAACGGGAACGCTCAGTCCCATTCACCCAGTAGCTATATAATGTACCACAAGCTGAAAGCCGTTCATTGAGCCAGCAGGAAATTCAGATGTTAGCAAGAACTGGAACCAGAGCTGCTGTGATGGATGGCAACATCCAGACCCTGGGAAGCATATAGTAGCGCTAGGCTCTGTGTGTGTGTGTGTGTGTGTGTGTGTGGCATAGCATGGGAGTGCATTGCTTTCAAGATCAGTGAGCAAGTCTGGGAGTCAGGGGACTGAGGTGTTCCTCTCCTTCTCCCTGGGAATCTGTGAGCAAAAAAAGATGGATTTGATTTATTTCCCATTGTCAGCTACGAGGAAAGGAATGAAACTAAGAGTAGAATGAAAAAAAATCCCACAAAACAAAAGATTTAACTCTAGGAGGAAAAAGGCCTGTTCCCAGAGGAGAAATGTGATACTCCCCAGCTTGCCCACTATCAGCACTCCAAGACCCATTCCCAGCTGCTCTGCATTCTTGGGTTTCATCACTCAACTCCGAGTTACAGGGGAGCATTAGCACTGGCTACTCTGCTCCTGTGGCTCTGCTGGTGCTGCCCAGCAGTGTGATGCTTAGCCAACACCAAAAAGATACGACCTGGAGAGGCTGGTGCTCACAATGAAGATAGCACTGGAACCCTCTCAGTCCCAGAATGCACAGAAAAAAGTCACCTCTTGCAAGGTGAAATTATGTCTAAAATGAACAAATAAGAAGCTCTAGCATTTTTCATCCTTTTGTTTTTTTTTTTTTCCCTCTTTTTTTTTTTTTTTCCACAATGATATTCCAGGAAATCCTTCTGAGTCTACAGAGCACCTCAGTTCAATGGGTGTGGGAGGAGAATGAATCCATTTGTAGCCCTCAAATATACACTAGGAGCCCTAGGTGACCTAGCAGGACTGCTGCAGCCCATTGAAACCTCCCATGCTGAAATCCCACTTCTCTCTTGACACCTTTGCTTCAGCTGTGGGCTCTTAATATAACATTAAAAACCACAGAATCATTAAGATTGGAAAATACCTCTATGATCAAGTTCAAACACAATCCACACCCACCATGTCCATGCACCATGTCCCTCAGTGTCACATCACTGTGGTTGTGGAATACCTCCAGAAACAGTGATTACACCACCTCCTCGGGCAGCCTTTGCCAATAAGGCATGTAAGATATAATAGTTAGAGATCCAGCACCCTGGTGTGTATTTTTGTCTTTATCATTTGATGAAATCAAATAACTTATTAGTAGGGGAAACTGTGGCAGGGTTGCATTAAGAGCCTTCTGAAAGAAAAGGGGATAATCACTTGGCTGTCAATAATGGTTATTCAATACAAGCTGGTGACATTCCCAGTGCTCATTTCAACGCACCCATCCCAAACTGGGCACAGCGTCACCACTTTGCTGCATACATCTAATATGGAGCTCTGAGTGCAAGTACTGTCCATACTGGCCCAGAATGCTGCCAAAGCATTCCCTAGGAAATCTCACAAAACACACCATAGCTTCAGCACCAGCTCTCTGGAGACTCAGCTTCAAAGGCTGGTGTCAATACAGAGGGCAGGGATCATCCACTCTCAGCTATCATGGCCTAGTCCTGCCACCAACTCACCCTTAACAAGAAGGGCACAGAAGGGTTATTACAGTGACCCGAGCAAGCAGAGAGCATGGAGATGTGGTTCTGATCCACACTTCCAGCCTGCAGAGTAGGATTTCCATAATGATTAACTCCTCTATCCCTTGGAAAACTCATTTTTTGTGCAACAACTGCAGATGATTCCCCTGTACACCCTTAAAAATCTGTCTAGCTAACAGATCTGAAAACCCAACACCTGTGTGTCAGCACGAACAGCTGTACACTTGCCACTGCTCCTCAAGCTGCAGAGGATGCCACATGCCAGTTGCTTTACTGAGAGCAAGTGGGGAGGCCAATCCATCGGAGGGAGAACACAGCATAATTAAGAAGCAAAATGCTCTCTTGCTCCTGCCCTAATTTTATTTCCCCCCTCCCCTACTCTGTTTAAACAACTCCATCAATGTTAGGATGCTGATCTCCATGCCTGCAGGACTGCGAACTTAGGAGGCAGGAGTTCTCACAGCACTCATCAGCTGGTGTGTCAGGACAGAGATGCTTCCAGTCCAACTACATTTCTGCCTTTTTTTTTTTTCTCTTTCCCTTTTTTCTTTCTTTTTTTTTTTTTTTTCCCTCTCTCTTCCCTGAGAAATATCCACACTAAGAAAACTTTTCTTGGAATAAATAATGGGAGACACGAAGTGTGCAGAATCCAAACACAGGCATTCCGCACGCTGTGTGACGGCAACCGATTACATCCACCCCGAAACATTCGCAGACAGTCATGTTTGTTTTCATTGCATTCCAGATATCAATTGCAATCAGTCTATATATATATTTCTTTCTCTCCCGTGTGTGCGTGTGTGTTCCCTTTATATACAGAACCAAAGGAACGTTTTGCTAAATCAAGCAAAATCTTCAAAAACCTTCAAAACCTGCGTTCTGAGCTTGTAAAAAACGCAAGGAGAAAAAAAGAGGGATTTTAAAATGGAGCTAAATGACTCAGAGTCCAGTTGGAGCCATAATGTGAATTTATCCTCAGATGAATAATTTGCCTTGGTATTCCTAATTTGGCAAGTAAAGAGTGCAGCGCTGCTTCACAGCCATAGTACCTTTGTGCTCTTAATCCACCAGGGGCTACCTATACTTGTCTGTCTGTACATTGGATCACTGCTAGTGGAGGTCTGAAAAGCATCTCCAGCAATCTTTAATTCATGTGATTAAAAATTCAAAAGAAGCCCTTGTACCAGCTGTTAAACTATGTTAGTAAGCTGTAATTCAGAGTTCAAATCCCAGCAAATTGAAGGTTAGGTTAACAGGATCATTCAGTGGAACTGCATTATGTCGTAGCGACTAGAACAGTAGGTGGACTGTTTTATACAGGCTCATTTGCAGAAGATAAACTAAGGATGAGCAAACTCATAGCACTGTAAACCTTGCCCTGGATTTATTTTCCCCCCCTTCTTTTTCTGTGGCATGATTTTTTTCTTAAAGTCTGGCAGATGAAACCAACTGTGGGTTTTGTTTAATCTTTGCACAGATAGAGGCAGAATAAAATCAGCATGAAGTGTTTTGTTTAAGATTATCTGGAATCTGAGAAATGTGTTTTTCATCTCTGAGACTAATTAGTTTAAGTATAACAAAGGTGAAATGAGTCTGATGGTCTGAAGACTACTGTTCATTCTCCCTTAGAAAACAGTGAGAAAATATAAGAGAAAAGAAATCTGCCTTATTTAGAAGAGTTTGGTGTAATTTATTCTTTGCTCAGTCTCTCCCCAGCAAACTTACAGGAAGTCTGGAAGAATCAACCTTAAGTGCATGTAAGGCCAAAAGTATTATTCACAATTATTACTTATTACTAGCATTACAATAGTCATTAGTTTTCAGCTGCAAGTGAAAAGCTATTGTGGAAAGTGCTGTGTATAAAATGACAGTATTTGCTGTCCAGTGCTTACAGCCTTCCCAGCTTTGTAGAGCTTGCAGGGAGAAGGTGAGAAACAGGATGTAATATCATCTTTAGTTTGCAGATGGGGAATTATGGCACAAAGTGTCTTTCCCAAAACCACACAGGAAGCATGCAAAACTAGAAGCTGAATCCTGATCCCTTGAAGGCTTTAACCAAAATACCATCCTTCCTGTCTATTGAAAGATTCCTACTTACTATATAGTGAGCTGTAAGGCAGATCTTTAATGAGCCCACACCCAGAAAGTAGATGTGATCCCATGCCCATAATACACATGAAAAATTGAAGCCCTTATAAAATGCACTGATAATGTCGTTACACTTGTGGTTCTGGTGACTTTGATAAGGTAGGTTTTGCGCAGTAGAGAGCAATTCTGAAAAGGGAAGTCAATGGGAAAGGCTAGGAAGGACTGATGGATTGCTCAAAGCGGCACCAAAGGCAAAAGGAAAAATGGCCTGTTGGGGTTGTTGCTAGGATAATATCAGAGGATAATAAAATATTTAGGAAAACTGTGTCTTTCACATTTGGAAAAAAGAAGCCAAATGAAAAACAGTGCTGAGTATGAGTGCATCTAGATGCTGGAAGAAGAAACCTTGAGCTCAAGAAACAGGTGAAGAGAAGCTTACAGAAGAATGGAGAATTTTAGTAAGAAAGCACAGGAGTTTGCACAGGTATCAAAGGAATACAAATCTGTAGCTAGGAATTTCACCTCCTTATTGCTGGTAAGAGACCCACTAGTGAAAACTTTAACATATTTTGCATGCAGTCCTTCCAGTGATCTACTCACAGGTCTGAAGGGAGAAGTCATTCATCTTTTGGCCATGACACCTACAAACACGAAATTCATTCTCATTTCCTACTTAAGAGAATACTTGTTCTGAAATTACTAAAATTCCTAACTATTTAAAGAAAATAAATACACATTTTAAGTGATTAACATGCGTTTGCCTGTATGTGATCAACCTGTGACTCGATTTCTTCTCTTTAAATCCTACATTAACAAATCATTCCCACTGTGGGTCAGATGTCATGACTAAACACATGGCACTCCCCAAACCCTTTAAATGTTTCAAGAAATAATGTTTAAAAATAACATTGTCTGACCAAGGACTGCATAAAAGTTGTGAAGGACTTGGCCTCGTAATTTAGAGTCATCATCATCAACAGGCTTTCACTTGGATAGCACCTTTCATTCAAAGATCTCAGAACACTTAATTTAATTAAGCCTTTCAACAATGCCATAATGCAGCCAAATGTTATAATAACTGCTTGTAGAGGTTTGAATCTGAGACAAAGAGAGGTTAAATGAGTCTCCCAAGGTCCCAGAACAAATTAATAACATCGCCAAGAGGAGGCTGCAAAGCCAGACCCGCAGCCCTCTCCTTCATCATCAGCTCCTTTCTTCCTCTTTCACCCCAACACACGAACATGAACACTGGGGGTTTCTGAGGACTGTGGTCCTCATCTTCCTAGGAAGCAGAGTGTGTGACACCAAGCAGTGTTTCAGACTCATGATGAGGACCGCATCCCTTATTTAGGCTGTTTGGAGCCCTGCTTTCACTCCCCAGACAGCGATCCAGGTTTCTGGGCAGGGTTAGCTGCACCATATAATGGGTGGTTGTAATGGGAATATTTCCCCCCAAAACAAGATTAGGATGAGTATGTCACTGCTCTTCTCCACACCAGCACTTCCTCTGGGCTACCTGAGGAAGTGGGATTGTTTGCAGCTTTCCCATGGCTACAATCTGCACTATATTCACGGTGCACTGAGCGGTCAATTTTGCAGCCTGTGAAGACCAAAGCTGGGTGAGCTCCCAGGCACCTTATCTGCACTGAAGGACAGGGCTCAGCAGGAGGAACACCTCATCCTCACCACCGCACAGCATGCTCTGATGTTTTCTAGGAGGTCCCTTGCACAGGCTGCCTCATCCTGATTCCCTGAGCCTGGGAGATCTGAAGCACATACAGGCTGCAGTGGTATGGCTCCAGGCCATACAGCACGCACTAAGCACTACCATATGTCACAGAGGCAGCTAGACAAAATCTTCCCTGAAATGTGAAGAGGAGTGCTGGATACACGCGAAGCTTCACTAGTTTCAAACCAAACAGCAAAGGTTTTGTAAAACAAAACCGGTTTACTGCTGAGCTTCAGCAGCTGCTTTCAAATTTACAAATACGTTTACATTCTGCAGAACGTAAATGAGAAGTGATGGCTTTCTGAGCTGGCTGTCAGGACCCTGAGGTGGGGATTTGCCTTTTCCCAGGTGCTGCTGCAGAGTTCGATGCCCTACAACGTGCAGGTGGAGTGGCATGGGACATCCGCTCAGCCCACAAAGAAGGCCTGGAGCTCCTTGACATGAATGGCCACAGACTTTACAGGAAGGATTTGGTCATTATTACATTCAGTATTTCCCCATCATGGAGGGGCTCCAGAATTAAATATTTGACCCTCCAGTTTTGGGAACTGTCGGCAAGAGATGCACCAGGCCCACACACGCGTGCAGGATGCGTGGGGTCCCGTCAGAAAGGCCCCATCACGCATTCCTCCAACTCTATAATCTCATGAACACAAATATTTAGTGTCCATCCCAGCCCCAGATTTATAAAAGGCCATCTGTTAACTGCTTTCACTGGTTCCCAATTAAGCTATCTCCATAGCGGGATTGATGCCACTCACGGCTGACACGATACCTTCAGTTTGAGGATAAGATAGTTATTTGGACTAATTTCCTTATGGAAAGGCCTTGTATAATTGAACAGTGGTGAAAACAAGCAGGGTTGGGCAGAATTACAAGCAGGGCCTGTGCTGCAGACAGTACCACATTACACCATTACATCTAACTAAAGCACAACACCAAGAGTCATATGATGCCTAAGAACATGGACTTTTGCTTGCTAAAACCATCCCCCTGTCTTTATTATTGAGAAGTTTAAAATGCGAGGTTGAAGGCTGAAAAATAAAAAGACAGAAAACACCCCAATTGTTGTTTTCTTTTTAAATCTAATTATTTTAAGCATGATTTCAGAACACTGGGAGCTGGATGCAGCATGGTAAATCATACAAATTCCTACAAAATTATGTGAGTTTAAAGTACCTTGTAATAGTTTAAGCTTATCTATGTTAATTAAATGAATTACAAATTTGTGACTTAATACATTGAAAAAATTGAAATATATGATATAAAAAATATTAAAAATACATAACCTTTTGTCTCAAAGGTTAAATGGGCTCTGCATGTGCAAATGAGTGCCATTCTGTTGCTTTCATCATCATAATTTTGCTCACCTACATTTCATGGAATTGAACAGATGGATACTTCTAGGGTGCAAGCTTACCTTTACATTCTTTCTCCATGAAAGACAGAAATCATAGAATCATAAAATGGCCTGGGTTGAAAAGGCCAACAATGCTCATTTAGTTCCAATCCCCTGCTATGTGCAGGGTGGCCAGCCACCAGACCAGGCTGCCCAGAGCCACATCCAGCCCATTGAATGTCTCCAGGGATGGAGCATCCACAACCTCCTTGGGCAGCCTGTTCCAGTGCCTCACCACCCTCTGAGTGAAAATAATCTGGTGGGAACATTCTGCTGGTGGGAGAGCTCACCTTGGCATTACTCCATCATCCATCCTTAGTAATGGCACATGGACGTGACCTCTCAAGTAGAGCAGAGCACACAGATGGGAACCTGGCTTGGCTCACAGCTTTGATGGAAAGCTACAGTTTTCCTCCTTGTTCAAAGCGTCATGAAGCTCACCTTTGAAATTTCTTCTTATGAACTGAAGTTTGCTGCCCTAATTGGTACACACATAACATGTTTTTAGTCATGAGATAAACAATTTACTACAGCATCAAGAAAACACTGGGCTGAAACTTTATTAGCTATGTATGATAAAGCCATTCCTCTGCTTGTTTCAATGGTAAAATAAACTCCCAGCATGGACGGTGGAGATGGAGCACAGCAATTTGTTTCAGCTCAGGCCCCGTGTCCTGCTCCCACCCGCACCACTTGGCGAAAGCATGGCCTGCGCTCCTACAGGTGTTACATTTTTTACTCCCCCAGTGACCAGTAACAGTGCTATTGGATGAGCATAATATATCTCAAAACAATGTGCTGGCATCGCTGAGAACGTACATATAAGGCCACTGAGGTCCACACAGCAAGGATTGCACAATAACCCATTAAAATAAACATTTGCAACCACAGATAGCTGGCCTGAAATCCCTGCTCTGATACAAATAACATCTGGACAACTTTTGTATGCATCTTCCAGCATAAAACACCCTTGAGAAAAAATAGAAGGCAAGCTAAAAGACAAAGGACCACTAAAGATTTTATTATGCTATGGGTGTGGTGCCATAAATTTTAGGAGATTCAGGCAAGAGTTGCCAAGCCTGAATTTAAACAGCATGTTGTTTTTAAAAGTTGTAACATTAGTGACGAACAAGTCAGTATTCTTACATAATTAATCCAGTGTGAAATAGACTGACTGGAAGACATCCAGTGGTTTAAAAATAACTCAATCATTTATAAGATCCACAGCACTATAGGATTTAACATTAAGGCACAGGAAGTGAAGGCATCTTGGTACAGAGCATGTTGTTTTAATTCCACAAAAGCTTTGTGAATTCTGCTTAACGGAGCTCACTGTACAACAGCTCTGTGCCGCGCAGAAGCGAGGGAGGTTCCTCTCAAGTGATCACAGGTTTAACGTCTGGGTTTTTGTCAGCAGGATTTGATTTCATTTTTCCTCTCTCCACCATTTGAACATGTCTTTGGCTGGAGATACCATAAAATAGATGAAAATGGAATTTTTTCTTTTTTTGATTTTTTTTTTTTTAGTGGTTACGCTTAACTAGAAAGACTGGGAGGAAGACAAAGCTACACAGGGAGCTAAGGAATGTCTTCAGGTGGCAATCATAGTACGAATTTGAATGGACTACAGCCTTCAGTGTCATTTGTGAGTGATGTTTTCAGCTGGCAAGCTGCACTAATAGATGCATATGGGAGACACAGCATGAAAAGGGCTGCATGTAAAGATATAGACATACCGCCAGGTGAAATCCTCAGTCGTTGCTGACCCGAAGTCATCACTTATGTTTGCAAACTAAGGACTCAGTTCTGCAGGTCATTCAGACACAAATCCTCAACCAGCAAAACCACCTGCAAGAGTCAGACATGGTTACAATCAATGTTTCTGCAAGCTGGAAGAAAGCATCGTGGCTAGTTGTATTGGAGCCCTCCCCTTACATGTTCAGAACTGGAGGTGAACGGTCCACACAGAGCTGCTTCTGGTTTTGCTATTTTCCAAAATTTCCAAGTAAAAATTTCCAAAGTAAAATGGTGGCAGTGCCATGTGGCCCCTCAGTCCACCATTAGGGTGCCAGGTCAATGGCATCTCATCACTCACTGCTTTGTTCTGCTCTGTGAAAGCCCTCACAATGACACAATTTGTCCCAAAGAACATTAAGATTCCTAATAAAGGGAAGTAAAGAATAAAGCAAGTGGATATAAGGTGCCTCTTCCTGGGCAGCGCATTTCCCCTTTGCCTGGTTTGACATAGAAGATGAGAGCAGATACATCAAAATTGTAATCTCGAATGATCAAAATAAATCACATACAATTGATTTTGACTAATGTAAAACTAACTGAATACATTTCTGGAAACAGTACTTATGAATTAATAATAGTGATTAAGATGAATTAAACACACAGACTAAATTCTGCTCTACAACATGCTGACTTCCATGGAAACTGTGCATGTAGATAGGGTCTGAGTACAGCAGGTTAATTCAGAATTATTTTTATCTGTTGAATCAAAGTAGTATGTTAAAAAGAATTTATGTGACTAAATAACATGCTAAACTTACCAATGTTTATTAAGCTTTGAATATTATATTCTCAAATTATCAGTATATCTGCCTAAAAATGCAAAAAGTGGCTTTTTGAAATCCACCACTGCCAGACTGCAGAGTCTTAAGGTACAAGAAATGTGACCCAAAACAGTATTATCATTTCATTGGGTAAGGATAGATTTAAAGAATCATTAATCTCATCTCCCATTCAGTTCTTGGACCCATTCACCATTTGCAAGAATGAAATCTGATACACAAATGCCACCTCTGCTCATGGCACCTGTCTCAAGATGGACCCAGCAACTGTAATACAGTTTTTCTCTTGAAATACAGCTATGTAGTTATTACATATTTTTTTCTATAAGCTTGTCTTTGTCATAAAAGCATATAAGCTATATTTCACGTATGTACACATTTTTATAAGTGTATATTTTACACATTTATTTTCTATGCTTATATACATATCTGTTTTTCCTATGATTTTATCCATTTGCTTCTGTAACCATTTTGTAAGTTCTTTATGGAAAACTTGTTCTTGGTCAGAAATTCTGTGAAATTTAGACTAAGGGAAACGTACTCCACTGAAATGCACCAAGTGGCATCACCTATGAGGATTTACAGATGTACACTTAGGAAAGATTGATTCAGGCAAGTTCAAATCTGTTAGGTGCTTAAGATTGTGAGTAAGAACTGCAGAGAATATGGATGACTGAAAGGTAGCGTGTGTCAGGTTAAACTCTTGTTGCCTGGTATCAGTTCAGATTAATTCTGATGAGAACATGAGTAAAGAACATGTAGGTGATCAGAGGAGAGCCTGTACTGCTGGAGAAGATTAAAGTAGCGAGGTACACTAAGATCAATTAAATGAAGGCTGAGATGCAACTTCTGTCTATGAATAAGCCAGTGGGGGTTAAAAGAAGCTGCGAGATTTGCTGTTTAATACAAATATGAATGGATATCATCTGGTTGTTAATGAGCTTCAGGAGAAGCTTGACAAAGGGATGTGACCATGAGAACTCTCCAGCAGCCATCCCACAAGAGCATGGGGACAGGGGAAGTAAGAAAACAACCTCAGAGGCTGGTTAATATGAAGCTTGCTCAATTCTCAAGTGGAATTTGGGCAAGAAATTCAGTACTCAGAGGGTCCCTGCTAGTGCTGTGCTGTGAAAATGAAAGGAAAGGGAAAAGGAAAAAGGGAAAAGGAAAAAAGGAAAAAGGAAATAATCTCTGAATGTTTAATATTCAGAAGAAAAAAAATAGGAAGAGTTACTAAAAGTGATGATTTTAAACAATTCCCATCAAAATACTCCCCCCAAATATTTTGATCACGATTAAATGGTTTTGCAGTAGAAAACTCACACTGTTTTTCTAATGGCTCAAGGCAGAAGCAGGCAGGACGTTTGGAAAGGACTTGAATATTTATGCCTTGCTGCCGCTGCTTGACCTCCTCCAGAGAAGGGAGGGCACGCTTGGATTAGTCTTCATGTTTGTGGTGATTAAACAGCTCCTGGTCTCACCTCTTGCTGAATCCTAATGAAATATGATATGTTGTCTGTTAGATATTAACAGGAAAATATTCTGTTTTCCCATCCACAGATGTTTGCCAAAAGGGAGATCACAGTTCTCCTTTCTAATGCAGACCTTGCAAGGTCTAGCACTAGGCAAGGACACTTGGGCACTGAAATAGTTTCTTGGAGACTCTGATGGTTCTTCTGTATACGATAAGTTTAAGTAAATATCTGCTGCCAGGTTTCTTACCTTAGACCAGCTGCATACACCAGATGCTCTAGTTAGTTGACCGTATCAGAATCTTTCTGTAAAAATTTCTTTTATAGAAGAAAATCTCCTTTCCAGGAAAAGGCTGTTGGGAAAGCCATAGTTGATTTGAAGTGTCTTCTCCCTGTGTTGTTAAAATACAGTGTTAGATAAAAAAGTTTTAATCAATTTCATTTTTATCAGCAATCTGAAAAATCGTTGTGATTTACTAAAAGTATGATATTTTTGGAAATCCTTTTGTATGAAGAATGTTGTGGTTTTGAATTTTCATCCAAGAGCTGGATTAATTTCTTTTCTGAAAACATAAAATATGTGATGGGAAGGGATTTCCATTTTCTACCCAGCCATGACATTTAGTGGTATTATTAAAATTAGTTATTTTCATTCCTTTTATGTAGAACCATTCATAAATATTGTACGTTGTAGCAAGTTGAGTTTGGGCCTACACACAAGCTAGTTTATACAGAGTAAGGCAGTCAAAACCAGAATCTGACTTTTGCAAAGTATGTATGTGTGTGTATATATGTATATATACATATATATATATAAATATATATGCATGTATATACACATACAATGAATTTGTATGAAAATATAATTACAGGACAGGTCAGAATATGTTAAAAATCAATTTTTAATAATCAAAGACCCAAACTAAAATAATTCAATGCATATAAATATTCCAGTTTTCAGAATTGCTACCAAGTAACGTAAAGCAAATCATACAATCAAAACTTGGCCCTCACTCTTCAAGATGCTAACGGCCACCCGGCCCAGTCATTAGGTAGATATAAGCTGTGTATAACATAGGAGTTTGCTGCTAATTGGTAGAGGTCAATTACAAATTAATCCAGCATCCTGATAAAATAATCTTCAATTTTCAAGACTCTGATTTTTTATTACTTCTTCAACATGTGAAAGGAAAAAAGAATTTTCCATTGCATTGACCTGGACCTTGTAAATAAATAGCACAAAGGAATGGCTTGGAAATGAAATTCTTAACATTGTCAATATGACCTAGAGACACTGGTGTTGGTACAGGTTTTGGTGTTTATATCATTCACTGGACCTACTATTGATCAGGAGCTGGTGCTACCAAGCTTGGTGCCCAGCAAAGAAGAAGTTGAGAAAACTGCTGAATATCAATCAGCTTTAGATGGCCAACCAACTTTCTGGAGTTGTGAGCAGTGCAGAAAAGCCATTTGTTCATAGGGAAGGTGTAAATCTGACAGCAGTTCTTCAGGTAACAATGTCAGTAGTTCCCAGAATATAGAGAAGATATTTTTGTCAGACACTATAATGCCCCTTACATTTGCGAAAGGAAGATACATCAAACGATTTCAGCTGTAGCATCCCTGATTCATAGAATCATAGAATGGCCTGGGTTTAAAAGGCCCACAATTCTCATCTAGTTCCAATCCCCCCTGCTATGTGTAGGGTCACCAACCAGCAGCCCAGGCTGCCCAGAGTCACATCCAGCCTGGCCTTGAATGCCTGCAGGGATGGGGCATCCACAGCCTCCTTGGGTAAACTGTTCCAGTGCCTCACCACCCTCTGGGTGAAAAACTTCCTCCTAATACTTAAAGAACTTCCTCCTAATATCTAAATTCAGAACATCCCCATACATACGTATTTTAATTGTCCTAACTTTTGCTGCAACCTAAATGAGAGGGGAAAAAAAAAATCAGTCCCATCACTTACAAATCATGAATTAGAAAAGTGATTATTTTCCTTTAGAGAAGATACCTACTGAAAAATGGTGACATTATGCTCTTTTCAAATGGATGCTGTGGCTTTTATAGATGCTCTTGGTACAATCCATTTCTGTGAACTGCATGTTAGAAGGCTTTACCACTCCATTATAGAGATAAGTGCTATGACTGGGCTGGGAACATGTGCCTTGGTGCCACAGCATCTTTTGGATTGCATTGCCTAGGTACAAGGGAGAATAGCTGCAGTTAAGCTTAAAGTTAGGTAAGAAGGAATGACAGGATTGCTCCTGCCCGGAAGTGAAAATCTGAGGGCTCTGAGCACAGAAGGTACACAACAGGAAAGAAATTTGTCCTGTGAAAAGGAGTCAGGGATTTGCAATCCCATCCAACCACCTACTGACAGCAATGTTTCAAATCTACCTCTTTGTCTCTGTGTATTCCTGTGTTTCTCCGACATAATGCAAACTTTCTTTGTATATAATCCAAATCCAAGCTATAAAATCACATATTTGGCTCACACTTAAAAATTGCCTGAGGAAGCCATGTTACTCTTTTTAAAAGTAATAACTTTTTAAAAAGTAGAATTGCATTATTATTCTTTGACTTATTCATAGTTAATAATCAGTTAATAATTAATTCAACTCCAAAGCTGACATTTTTACACTCTGTTTTCAGTAATATTGAAGTGTAGTGCAGCCCACACAACTTAGATGAAATATTTCATGTAATATCAGCTTTTAGGCAGCCATTGGATTTGTGTACCCATCAAAACTGCATCTTCTGAGAAGAGAAAGAATTAAGAAAAAGTCATTTACCCAATAATTCTGTAACTATTGATTTCAGTGTAAACCCCTTCCTCTTTATAAGATTAATTTTGTTCTTCCCATGTCCCACAGAAAAATCTTGTGCCCAGAGAAAAGCTGCTATGAAAAGGATACAAATGAATCTACTTAGATAATTGTAATTCCAGTCAGACACTGGCACCATCTAGTTCATGTTTTATCATAACGGACCAATTTATAAGATGTAGCCATCAGTCTAAAGAGTACAACACAGCACTTAGACCCCAATACTGCAACGAAGACAGAGGTGGCTCTAGTTGAGGAGAGCACACCTGGGTCTTTACTCGAGATCTTCAAACAAGCTGGAGTTTTTGTGATGTAACAATAACAGCATTTGCAAAAGCCTCGTAGTTCTAGCATTCAACATATATTTATCTATAAAATGAGCACTTTGGGCCCCCTTCAGCCCATCAATAGTGGGTTTGGAGGGATAAAAAAGAAAGAGAACATGGAATCCTGAATGCTGCCATTGATGACGCCTACCCTACATTTGAGAAGCAACATCAAATAAAAACCACACCAGTTTCATGTGTTTTGTAGTAGAATAGCCACAAAAGGATTCCCCCCCACCCCCCTTTTTTTCTAATCAAAGACTGATTAATTAATTCTCATTATCTCCATCTCTGTCACAAAGATAGCATGGTGACGCTGTCAGAAAGCTGCTGTAATTTGCCTCGGGCATGGCTGTAATTTGGTGGTGGTTGAAGTGATCACTTGTGTTTTAGTAGGTCCCATCATCCCCACGCCCACAGAAAAATGCTCACAGGCAGAAGACGTGTACCCGAGTACGACAGAAATAGGTGACAAAAGCAGAATGAGCCTCACCCTGAGCAACCCTCAAAAGAGCAGAGCAAATAAACCATGGCCTCCTATTTCCACAGCAGCACCAAAGGCAGATTCAGACCAAGTTAGGACAGAAACCAGTCTAAAAAACAAAACAAAAAAAATCCTCTTTCAAAGATTGTTGAGGGAAAACTTGTATGCAGCAGCTGCTATTGGGGCAGAGGGAAGACTAAAAAAAAAGCCTCTCCTAGAAGACTTGCAGAGCAGCAGCCTGCTAAATGTGACCACATCAGGAAACAGTCCTCACCGCAGCTTCATCAGGGTGAGCTGAGACAACACCATAAATGTGGGAGACCAGTAGGACCAAGTGTTACTGGCAGCGTGCAGTACAAACTGAAAGCATCCATAGACAATTGAAACCACATTGCATGAATCCTCCTCAAATCACAAGGTTAATGCAGATCCAGCTTTCAACTCAGTGAACTACATAAACCAGATGAGGTACAGCGAACAATGGCTCATGCGGGTGTCCCAGTTTCCACCAACAATGTTAGCCACATTGGTGGTGACTCAATTTGTTTCCATCATATGCTCTTTAGAGTCGCCTCTGGCGGCTTGAATTTTCATACTCCTTTTCCAAATGAACATTATCCAATTGCAGCAAGAGGAGTTGGCACCCAGCAAAAGGCATGTGAAGCTCCATTTTCATAACATACTAAATGACACAGGGTTTAAGGGTTACTCCTCTTCCTCTTGACCCTTATGGCTCAGATTAGGAGTTCAGCTCAGAGCATGATATCTTCCTATGCCGTTGTACAGTACAGCAAAAGGAGTCAGCAATATCCAAATAGCCATACATAACATTTAAAAAAATAGCCTGGTTTGGAAAAAATGAATACATATCCTATGTGTACATATACCTGCCTTTTATATGGCCTTGTACTACATCTTCTTTAGTGAAGAAGAAGCAAAACAGAAGAAATAACATAAATCTACATCTGACCTCAGTGAAAAGATCGTCTTTCTCAGTGTAACATACTGTAACATGAAGTTTGCTCTCCCAGCATTATTTGTTTAATAGAAATATTTTCCATACCACCTGGTTCTGGCAGAAAGTCAGAATTTGCATTTATATGAGGTAGTTTATCAAATACAACATACAGAAGTCTGTTAAGTACACATTGCATTTTGTTTGTGAGAAAATCTGTTTGTATTTAATGTAGTTTTTAAATTAACCTTAATGAAAGCTTCTGAAAATTGTTGTTCTAAGCATTTGAAATATGCAACAAGAACTAGTGGAAGACATAAACATGTTTTCCATTATATGTTATCAGATAGTCCAAAATTACTACAAAAAAGAACGTGGGACTATGTTAAATTAGAAAGATAAGCAAGCATTTAGTTAAAAGGCAAAGGTCTTTAGAAGAATAAAGCATCTGACAGTTAACCCCGAAGTCTTACTATCTCCTACTAAGAAGAGTACAGCACTTGCAGAATACAGTAGGGTGTTTTAACCACATCCACAGCTCAGATGAAACACGGGGCATGTTTCACAGAAATCCCGTGCTGGGTGTTTGTTCCAGCCAATATTTATAGAGTAGTTGCATTCCCATGGTCATTTTGAAGATCTTACTAAAAGAGTATCAAATGTGATTTGCCCACAGCTCTATCTTTTGGAAAGAACCAACCTAAAAACCCAACCTTTATAAATGGCCTTAGTATACATAATCCCTTCAATTATCAAAATACTATTTTCAGTTGTCCTCTGCTGTTTGCTGATTTAATTTTCTCCCGTAGCATAAGACAGCCTGTTTTCAGTTGATAGTTACACTGGCGGCTTCAGAAAGAACATAACATCCAAAGGAAAAAACTTTGATGTTATGACTTTTTTTTCCAGCCTTTCCTCATATATCAGATTAAATCTTTTATAAAAGAATAAGGTGATAACCTGGAAAATTGCCAAACAAGGGCAGGTATCAACAGGACATTTAACCTATGTGATCAGTGAGATTAGAGGGAAGCAGTACCTAAGTAGCTTTATGATGAGTTGTTGGGACAAAAATAATTCAAATAATAGCAATAAAAGTATCACTGGTAGTGATCAAGTAAGGGAAGGAAAATCTGACTAATGACTTTGTTTTACTATTCTGGTAACCCTTTGCATAAAGAAAACTCAGTAAAATCAGGTTTTAATCAGGGTGATATTTTTCTGGAAACTCTTTCTTCCCAACACATTCTGGCATTTAACCAGTGTTTGAATAACATTCCCACAGTAAGTTTTGAGTCGAACTTCTTTTTTCACGAGCAACTGCTCTGGAAAACAGGAAAATTGAAGAGCTTTTCTCAGAAAGTCATTACTTTTCTGAGAGATATATAAAAAGGCAAATACTCAGTTATCTGGTTATATAGTCACAGATTACAAAACAAAAAATGTTAAGTTCTACAAGAATCCATCCAGCAAGAACCTAGCCATAAGTATAAGGTCTCATTGACATGCTGCTGTGAAGGTGACCAAGATGTGTCTTCGTTACAGACCTTTTGCACACACTGAGATTCAGACTAAGTCTGCATCTATCCACACAGATCATCTTCAGTAAGCATCTGAGATTTCTCCCTGACTCCATTTAATTTATATCCTCTCACTACTGTGTTGGAAAATTGGGGTATTTTTGGTTTTCTTTTGGAGCATAAAAGGGGCAGGGCAATCTAGTTGTCATCTGGGTGGTGGAATACTGGAATCCTGTTTTGGATCATGTTCTCAGTCTCTAGTTTAAAGGGAATGATTTCCTATAACTGAACTACAGATCACTGTGCTTGTAGGGTGGTCACAGAACACCAGCTCTGCTTTGCATTAAAAGTGGAATTTTTAATAGCTGAGAGGAAAAAGAAAGAAGAACTGAAAAGTTGTGATATGAAAATTTTGCAGTAGGGACTATTCCTAAATACTATGCCATCTCATTGACTACAACAACTCACTGATTTCCAAGGTTTCTACAGTCCTTTCCAGCCAGATCAGACTAAACGCAGAACATTCGGGAGAGTCAGCCTCCCACAGCCCTTCACCCCATGGCTTCCCTTGTATTTCTGTGAGACTGTTAACCAGCCACCTCAGCCATGAGAAGCCTAATGAGTTCTTTGATTACCCTACAACCTGCAATTTTCATGTAAAGGGCACAGAAACCCTAACATGTTTTCACATGTTTCATGTTTGTGGCTTCATAAATGGGAACCGGGAAGGTTTAAGAACTCGACTGCGTTTTCTGTGTTTGCTGGCTGCAGTCCATTGATGGGATGGGGGATGTTGACTTCTCGGGTGCTGCGAGGAACAGAGCTGTTGTAGGAATGCTAAGAAGCCAGTCTGGGTGAGGGGAAGACCTCAGAACAATAGTAGAGAGCTCGAGGACATCTTCCATTAATAAGAAAGTTCTTGGTGTACATAATAGCCACGCTTATGAAAGTTTTCTCAGCCTTTCCTTAATAGCTAAAGGAGAGTCTTTTTAGGTTTTTTATTTTGAGAGATGGAATGAACAGAATGTGCACAGTCTTTGGACATGATGGGGAGAGAGATGGAACTGTGCATTTGTGCCTAGGCCAAAAAATAATTAAGGCAATAATACGCTGCAAAGGAGTATGTTATGAAACTCCTTAAGGAGGACTTTTAGCCAGATACAACTGATGACAAATATTCTTTTGCATTAATAGCCCTAACAGGCAGTATTGTAAATAGCTATAAGAATTTATAAATGGTATTTTAGGGCATCATTCTGGTTGTTTTTTACGTGTTAATATATTACACATTTGGTTTAAGAAGATACTGAACGCTGTCTGATGGCAGACTGTGAAAAATAGCATGAGTGGAGGTTTAGGGCAACTTTGGAAAGATCTGGGGTTGCATCATGAAAGCCAAATAATGTAAGTTTATTGTAATGGGATAAATATACCTTTGAAAAACACTAGAGCTACAGGGTCATGGGCCGTGACACAGAAGGGATGCAGAGGGTCTCTGGAGCAGGAAACTATTTGGCAACCTTTCTGCCTTAGCTGGCTGGGAGCAGTGAGAAGCTAATTTAGTCAGTGGGTAGGAGAGGCAGCTCTCAGAAAAGAGTTGGGAAACCAAAGGCGGCCGCACTGAACTATCAAGAAATGCATTTTGAAAGTTATTATGTAACATTACGGTCAAAACTGAAGATAAGAGGCTGATGCATCACAGCATTAGTGAAGTCAGTGTTAATATGTTTGCATAGATAAGGAAGATTTGGCGTAGTATACAGGCATAAAAATGAGGAGCCAACATTAGCTGAAACTGAGCTGAAAGCACCACTGCCAAGAGATGTAATTCTTGTCTTCATCTCCTGGAATATCAAGGTTTCTATAGTTTACAAACATATGGGTTTTCAAAGCTATTACAACTGTGACATCGATTTAGAAGCTACAAATAGGCAAGAGGTTAAGATTAGAGCTGGCCAGGAATTTTTGTACAAAACAGAATTTTGCGTTTTAGCCAGGATTAGTTAAGATAACTGAGCTTTACAACATCATACTGCCAGGTGAAAAAATGACTCACTTGACAAGCTCAGTGCAGCTGGGATTGAGTACTTCTGAATTGTGTTTTCACATAAACATTCACAAAGTGTTGTCATTGTTAAGAAAAATATGCACTAAGGAGAATTGTACCTTCAAATTGTTCAGGCAAGGGAGGGCACTTTGGGATTTCACAAAGCGTTGAGGTGGCTCTGGCTTCTCTGTACAACAGGACAGCTTGACCCTTTATGTCATACCCAGGGTCTGGAATAACCTGTGCTTTTGAAAAAGGTCATCAATATTAAAGAACAAATGTTCTACATCAAAACGTATCTAAAATTAGCATCAGGAAAAAAAAAAAAATCAAAACCAAATCAAATCTTGCTTCATCGGAAATTTCTCCTTTGGGCATGAAACCAGTAGCCAAATACTATAATAAAAAGGAGCAAAAGGAACAACCAGATAATAGACAAGCAGACAAAAGGGAAAAAATAAACGATACCGCGCAGTGGACGTTTTTGCACAAAAAAGCTCTGTCACAGAAAGTGTAAAAGCAGACAGAGAAGCAATGCAATCCTTTACCCAATCACTACGTGCTCAATCAAAGAATTCTGAACTTCAGCGGAATTCACTTAGACACTGGGGATTAAATGGGCAAAAACCTAGATTACAAATCAAAGAGCACCGAGTAGCGCTTGTATATGTTCTGCTTATGAAAGCTGCTTAATGATTAAAGTCATCTATGCTTAAAAAAAGAAATAAAAAACACGGAAAAGCAAAACTGTTGAGGTCTGAGAGCATGTCTCTGGATTGACAGGTCATAGGTTAAATCCAGATGAGGGTCACTCAAGCCTGGTGTTAGTCTAAATGAGTACAACATTAATGCTGAAAAATCCTCGCGATGAGCTCACCACCTGTCTGCTGCAGAAATCCGACCATCCAGGCTCAGTTGAAACTTGATGTTTACTTGCATTTACAGTACTTGCGTGCTGCTAACTAGAGAGAATGAAGTTAGTAATCTGGCTTTTGATTTCAATCACTTCCTCTATCCTTAATATACTTTTGTCCACTGCCATATAAAAAGGCTCTGTTTTTCACTGCAAATACGAAAGGATGCTCGTACTCCAGGACTTCCATTTCAGTGAGATTTTAAATGTTGGAAAACAGACAGGAAACTTCCTTTAAAAGAAAAATCATATTTAGAAGATGTTCATCTTGAATCGAAACAAGAGAAAAATCTGGAAAAGATAAGGGAGAATTTGGGTAAACTATAAATTGGCAGTCATAGGTTGGCTGATAATACTGACATTAGGTCCTGATCCCAAATCCAAAAAATACCCTGTTGATACAGAACTGAGCCTTGAAAAGCATCAGAGGGTTAAAGTAACCAACACTTATAGGAAAGAGGAATAGATCACTTGCTACACATATTCCATTATATTTTAAAAACTTGTAGGGTTGATGTGAGCTTGTTATCATTCATTAAAAGATAAAAATTGCTGCAAAAGGTACATATTTTGCAAGTATATAGCAGCTAATCTCAGACCTCTAGTAGATTTAACCTTGTATATTCATAGATATTTAAAGTGTTATGGTTTGAAGGTCATCTCCTCTGTCTTACAGTGAAAGGAAAGCAAAGAAAGGAATAAAAATTAGACAGAATTAATTCTTCAAAAAGTTTTTACAAATCAAAACCCTGCAGTTTCACACAGAGAACAAAAGAAGCATATTAAACACCAAAGTTTATCAAGACAAATTAGGTCCCAGTTTCAAATTTTCTTTAATCTTTTGCATCTGAACGTTTTTTTGCCTCATGCTGTTTTCCCTAGTTAAATGTTAAAATGAATTCTAGCCAATACCATTGACTTCCTCCCTTAAAAATATTGAGACACATAATAAAAAATTAATTACTTCCCCTAATTTCCGTGTGATTCTTTAAAAAGATGTAAAATTCATTTAAAGTAAGTGGTGACTTTGTCTTTGAAGATCACGACAATTAACATGGATCAAAGCTTAGGTTCTGTAACGATGATAGCTTATTAGCATAATGAAATTAACTTAGAGACAAGAATCTTTAATAGGTACAACAAAAACGCTTTAATAATACTTGAAGAAAATTATGTATTTGCTAGAAGTACAACAGTTTCAGACTTTCTATCCAATTAATAAGTTGTTAATTAACTCCTTTTCCAAACAATGTGCACTTTAAGTTAACATCTGCCCATTGGATAACACTTTCCTGTGGTATTTTTTTTTAATATGTTGTAGAACTGCCTCACTCTAACTGGGAATTCCTTGTAGGACTATTCTTATACTAGGGAAACAGGACCCAAATATAGTAATACGCTTTCTGTATCTAACCAATTAAATAAAGGAGAAGGCTTATTTCAAAGATGAGGAGAAGGAGTGGGTAATTCCTTAATTATGGCTGCATTGTTTGTGGCAGTGCTTAGTTTCAGATTTCTTTGCATTTTCAATAGAAATTATTTTCTGCAGTTTATATGTCTCCGTAAAATGGCTCTCTGCTGACTAGTGCCATATATGGACTTGACTTGGGAGCAATTTTCATATTTTTTTCAAATATCTATTTATAGCTCTGTGTTACAAGATTTTACAGCCTTATTTATATGATTGTAAATCAATAACTATTGTTTTTAAAGATATGGAGAAGGAGGGTTGCTCACAAAAAAAAAAAAAAAAATTAAAACAGAGCCGCATGCATAAAAATAGTATTTCCATAGTCTTTGCTTTGTAGCGTTGAATAATAAGGGCTTTCAGGACTTTAATTTTTAATTACAATGACACATTTTTGTTTTAGGGGCTTCTGCCTGCATAGTGGCTTGGGGATCAAGAATTTCACAGAGCATTTTGCTTTTTGCAAGTGGATTTGGAGAACATGCGGGACTGCGCAGAATGGAGAGGGTTCAAAGCCTCAGCACGAAATGTTCAGGCCAGCGATGGAACAATTAAATAGGTCTTATTTGAAACAAATGAGTTATTATATTCTATCAGGTCAAGGATCCATGTTTTAATAAATCCCTAATTACAGAATCTTTTCATTTAATCTGGCAAATTCTAAGCAAGTTAAGAATTTATGAGTTGGAATCGGCAATAAAAAATATGCCCGTCTCCTAGTCCACTCAAGGCCACACAGGTTGATCTCGTTTTGAGTAACAAGGAAGTCAGGAATGTATCTTCTAAAAAGGGCACTGTGACATTTTGTTTTTGCAGAAAAAAAAAAAAAAAAACAAATCTGGAAATTCTTATTTCCCTCTTTTCAGAGATAACAAGCAAACAAAAGCTGCGCAAGAATAAGAACATTTCTGAGGTCATCCTACACCTTGGAGAACTCTTCTACCACAAACCTAAGAGTACAACTTTTTGTGCAACATCCAGCTGAAATTCTTGTATCCAGCTGCTGCTGGCTATGGTTATGTTTTCCATTTCTGATCCAGCACAGCTCTTTACAGTCCCACAGTATATTCACCTCTGAAATGAGATCAAAATGAGTCCTGATACAGAGCAGAGTGTAGGTAAGATCTGGGGTGCACTGTGAGTACCAATGGTGTCCACACAGCGCCAAGGCAGTATGGAGAGTCATGTAGTCCTCAAGGAGTTGCATGCCTTCACGTGGCATTTTTACCACTGGCATTAAAAGGTTGATTACCACTTCGAGTACATCTCCTTTAGCCACAGCCAGACCTTAGCTCCTTTGGAACAACATCCTCATGAGTAATAACTAACCAACACTCAGCAAATGAACATAGTGAGCAGCGCTATCCACCAAGACCATCATCTTTAGGGTGGAAATGAGATACAATTATTAACTCACATGGAAAGTGCATAATTATGAGATTAAGCTTAGAAAACCACTGTTTTCTGCTCATAGATAGACAATGCCACTCTGTTATCTCTTTATGGGCACAAATACATAAAGTTCTGGTTATTACAACTGTAGCTAGTTTTTGATTGCTTACTTCTTGCAGAAGTTTATCTTTATTTTGTCATAAATCAGAATAGATCTCTGTCCGTTTTTTCTTTTCTAAATTTCTCCTAAAATGTCAAAAGCTAAAAAAACCTTGTTTGGAAAGAAAAAAATAAAAGAAGAGCAAGAGCTGTGCAATGCAGCATGTCTAGGGATTTGGAAGTGGTTGCCTGTGGACTCCTGCAGGCCACGTGCTACTCACTAATAACAAGTAAACAAGTGGAACATCATGAGAGGTGGCAGTTGTGACTATCATTTTGCTCAACCATTCCCAGGTGTACCTTGTTCCTGGAGCAGTTTTGACACTGAAATTGCTTCTGGACCAGTAATATGCAGCCCTCTGTAACTGGTGGGTTCCTCTTGGAGTATGCTAACTCAACACTGGGTAAATTTAGAACCATTTCTTTGAGAAGGCCCCATCACTGACTGGTGCAGGTGGCTGAGCTCTGTAGAAACTAAATCCACAGGCTCACAGGAGAATCTGCCTGGAAAAAAAAAAAAAAAAAAAGACATTTCCTTTTAATGACTTGCTTTTGGCAAATCAGGATTTTGGGGGGTAAAATGTTTCCAGATTGTAAATCCATCAGATAATTCCTCATTTGCAAGTTCCTTGGTATCATATTCCAAGAAATATGATATTACCTTGGCTGGGAAGTACAGTCAAAAGAGCATTGTCACCTACTTCTTTGCTTTCCTGCAAACTTCCATAGCCTACCAATTTTTCCTTGGATGATTCCCAAGCAAGAAAAGGTCTTTCTCCTTGCTTATGAAACTCAGGGTCTTAACTGCACAAGATGCTATGAGTACAAGCCAGAAACATTGAAGGTTCCTGTAAATAAGACATTACATTCCTTATGAGAGTAAAAAAAAAAAGCAGCTCATCTTTGAAATGTACTTATTGTTTCAAATTTTGAGCCAAACTTCTCAAACTATCTATAACTTCAGGTTACAGATAAGGTATTTCTAGAGTTTTACTGGTGCTTGACCTAATGCCAGAAGACACTAAATTGTCATGTTTAAGTGAATGACCAGTGCACTGAGCTGCCAACTGAGAGCTTCCTTTAAAGTAAAAAAAAAAAAATGACGCTGATAAACGCATCAGTTTAAAGATAATCAATATTCTTCCATTGTTTATGATTGTATTTATGTTTATTTTCTTGCCCAGCTTCTGCTTCTAGTGAGTATTCCTGCCTATATTTTTCTTGATTTTAAAATAGAATATGCTATGATTAAATCACAAGTATATATGCAACGCATTCAGTCAGCTTAATGCCCTGGAAATATGTGATTTGGTGGGTAACGTGGTAGTGCAGCAGGTTTCACAAATGATATGACAGTTTTCTTTACCAATACTATTCCAATCTATATCCACAGAATAAAATACTATATATTCTAGGTCTATTTTTAATTGATTATTCCCTCTGAAAAAACACCCTTCCCTATTCACGTGGTTTTAGTTCCAGCTTTACGTGATGTCTATGTTTTGTCCTGGGTTTGGATTTCCCTGGATGGCCCTGTTGCTGTTTCTTTCTATTTGCAGAATTATTTATGTTTGGCAATTCTATTTTATACTATCCTCATTGCATGGATAACATAAGTACAGGTTTCCTTGTCTCCAGCCTCACAGCTAAGCAAAAAATCTTCTCCCCTTCTTTCCCATTCACCACCTGGCTGCAGTGATTCCCACTGCTACAGACATTCACTGCATCGTTGTTGAGAGGCATCAACAGAAACCACAATTATGAGGTGAGAAAAACACAAGCAGGTGAAAAAAATATATATTCCCTCTGTACTGTGCCTCTTGTGGGAGTATTTTTTATCTTTTGTTTTTGTTTTTTCATTTTAGAGTAGCGCATGTCATAGAGATAGCAGACACCAGATAGTTGAACCACAAAATACAGCGACCTGAGGACCACATACCACTAAAACCACATAGAAGGCTCAAGAAAAAGTCATACTGTAGGAATTTTCACCTTTTTCAATTCCTGTTGCTTCAAAACCAAATTTACTTCTAGATTTGGATAATCACCCACTAAACTCCACCTTTTAAAACCGCATGGCTCAGTCATTACCTTTACTTCCATCAGCAAGTTGAACTTCAGTTTCTAGCTAGGATAGTACAGACAAACTGGCCCAAAGCAAAGGATAAGCACAGCACTGGATTGACCCCCAGTTATTTTGACTGTGCTCACTGCTTGCATTTGTACTCTCTCCATATGCTGTTGTACACAACTAAAACTTCAGCAAGTCAAAGATCTTACACAGCTTTGGGAAAATTACATCACAGGTTAAGAAAAATCCAAATCTAGAACCTAAGGCATGGTGGAAGTGCTGTACATTAAAATTGTTGAAAAATCAGAAAAGAGAGCATAAATCTGAAAGTAAGATTCTGGTACTGAAGCAAAGCTGCAAATGTCTCAGAACTACAGTTTAAATTTTGGGTGGTCCTGTGTGGAGCCAGGAGTTGGACTCAACAGTCCTTGTGAGCCCCTTCCAACTCAGGATTCAATGAACATGTGATCTAGCACTAGCAAAGGCTGCCCAGAGAGATTATGGAGTCTGCTCCCTGGAGATCTTTATAAGCTATCTGGGCATGGTCCTGGCCACCCTGATTGAGAAGGACTTGGACCAGAGGGACCCAAATGTCTCAGCTATCCTGATATTCTGTGCTCTCCAGAAATATTGCCTGTTTCCTTTCCTTGCCTCATTTATAAACATTCAGGAATCTGAGCAGAGAATAACTTTATTAGTTGGTCCTACGCAGTGGATATTACTCATTATTTGTTATATCAGCAACAAAAAGCAAAAAAGATTGTGCTCCATATGCACCCCCGCTCGTGCATTACAGTCAGTAACATAACCCACAATATTACAGCACTCCTTTTGGACTTCAATATTGAGCACTTAACGTTCACACCACAGTTAACTGTTTATATATATATATATTATTATTATTATTTTTAATAAGAAACTGTTTGCTTATTTTGCACCTATTTCACAGACTTACAGAATTCCAGCAATTGTTGCCTTACTTACATTGACCTCACTCTAATTGTTGGGATCCTAAATTCTGCACAGATGCTATTACTGTGAATTTAACTTCATATAGCAAGAAATTCAGGGCTGCCATATGCTGTCTTTTATGAGCTTGCAGTTTGTAACAAATATCCATGACTAATGTTCTTGACCCAGGTAAGCCCATGATTACAAAAAGCAAAAATTTTACTAAACTTTATAGCTGCACTTTTACCAATACTGTCAACAACAAATGCATAGGAACTCCCATGCCTGTGTGTTGATCTGAAAGACTATTTAGTTCCTCTCAGCAATGCCTGCAACCAATACCATCTGGGGATTCTGAAGAGATTGCCAAAATCTTCCAGATTCATATATATTTGTATCAATGCTGATAGGATGGCTGCCTTTAATATTCAATACTGTTCAGACATCTTTACATTTTGTATCTTGGATCATTTTTCTTGGCTGTTTTTCTTTTTTTCTTTCCTTCTTTCTTTCTTTAGTCAACTGGGTCAAAACTATCAGAAGCAGCATAAGAAGTATTTACTTGCTGGAATTCAAACACATTTATTAAGGATGTAGTTTCAAGTATTTTAAACAATTGCTATATAAAACTTGGGAATACCTATTCATAAGTAACTCAATCTTTATTAATCCTCAAGGATATGAACCAGATATTAGTTAACATCCAAATTAATTTTCAAAACTACAGCCAGTCAGATAGCAAATGTAAAACTGAAAAATTTACCTCCAAAAGCATGTAAGGGAACCAATTGCATGGTGCAATTAGCTATATCCCATAACGGAGAGGACTTCTCCCTGCACAGAGGCACGGAGCTGTGGCTCACATGCACTGTGGGGTTTAGCAAAGCTTGTGGCACTCACAGTGATGTGAAGTCTGGGAGATATAATGTGGCATCGGTTGCAAGGCCTTGTTGAGGTTTAAAGAGAGGGCAATCTTGCTTAAGCAATTTGTTGCTATACTGAAATCTATAGCTGGAGCCCCATTGGGGAGAATGTCCACTCCAAGGAAGGAGAGACTCAAGGTGACAGCAGAGGAGCTGGTCTTCAACTGGAAGCAAATATTAGGTGAGATGGGGAGAAGACACTTTTCTCCAAGAATGTTGAAACTTATTCAAAACTCACTTTCTTAGAGAATTTCCAATCAGGTAATTAAAAATCATTAAATCAGAATAGTTTGTGTTGCAAGAGACCATTAAATGTTGTCTAGTCCAACTCTCCTGCAATGAAGAGGGACACCTATAGCTCCATCTGGATGCTCAGAGCCTGGTCCAGCCAAATGCACAAGAGTAAATAGCAAATTAGGAGACCTGAAAGTCAAATTTAACCCACTCAGTATTAATCCATTGACATCCAAGTATGCAGGAGGTGACTTACCCAGGGCAGCCAAAGCTCACATCTCATCTGCAAATAAAATCAAGCATATTAGCCACTAGAATTCACACTGGCAACTAAAGTAAAAATGTTAAAACTCTTTACTATGAACAGTTGTCCATACAGCAATTGAATATTGGCAAGGTAGAAAAATAACAGTGAGGAGAAATTTTAAGTATCTTTTAGAGAGTAAGAGATTGAAGGTGAGCAAATGTAATAGAGTAATCCATTTATTCACTGCTGAATAATATTTTTCATGTAAAAGACCAAGACCAAGGAAAATAACCTAAGCAATAGCAAAGGAAGACTGGTCCTTCATCATTAACTTTTTGTGAGCTTTGCATCAGCAGATTCACTGCTGCTTTTTTTTTTTTGGAGTGTGTAGAATGTTATGGAAGGGATGGATGCTCAACTCACTGTACAGCTAGCCAATCTCACCTCATAATGTACAGTGAAGCAAAACTAGTGTGAGGCAAGAATGAACTTTCCTGGGTATTAATCTCCCATCTCCTTTCCACATAGTCATTTTCACTCTGCATAGTGAAAGCAATGCATGACAACGTGAGAAGTGAGCCTGAATCCTCACACATAACCACTGAGCAACAGAGCCCTTCACCTGATCTGAGGGTACAACCCACAGAAGGTCTTTCACTTATCTTTTGAATGTTTTTTCCTCTGAGTCAGATATTAGCACCACAATTTTGGAAAATACTGCCAGGAAAGAATTACCAGTATGGCACCAGAGACATGGCTCCCTTGGAAAGACATCACTGTAGCTATATTCAGGCATCCTCCACTGAACTACACCATCCAGCAGTTGTGTATGGATTCCTTTATGCTGATTCAGATAACCACTTACTCTAACTTTAATGTATTTCGTTTTGTTTCATTGTAATTTTATTTTTTATTTCTTTTTTACTACCATGGTTTGTTTTCAATTCAAGATATTTATGTTCAGTTAATTTATTTTCTTGTGAAATCAAGAGTCAACTGTAGCAGAATTAGCTAATGGATGAGGGATGTTTATGCTGTTCAGTGCTAACACAGTTTGGAGTTAATACAAGAGGAGTTTATGCAGGTGTCTATCACCATAACTGTGGTTTAAAAGCTGCTTTTTGATTTCAGATAAAGCAAACAGCAAAACACCTAGATCTTTATCTGGAGCTCTGGAATCTGAAAAGCTTAATAAAAAGAGGAAATTCCCTCATTAAATTCCACTGTTTTAGTTTTACTGCATTATTCTAAACCAAATTCTACAATCTCTCCTCAAGATCCAATTATTCCTTTTTACAGATTGTTCCATCTAAACAGCAAAAATGCATAAGTTCTCTTACATTTTTGATGGTGGGGAGATAAAAGTGAATTTTATGTCCGTCTACAGCTGACGGTCATGTAAACCAAAATCTCAGCTCCACATTTTGCCTGCGACATTTTTCTTCACCTTTGGAGAACACCTTCTACCAATTTTCTACAGATGCACTTGGGAGATACTAAGAAGAAACAACAGCGAGTTCATCTCAGCTTAGGGAAAAAGGACCAGAGAAGTGCTATGCCTGCAGGAGCAGGAGAAATCCCTCTTTCCACAAGGAAGAGCTTTATGCATTTCACAGCCCTTGATGGAAGACACACACATGGGAGCAGAAGAAGAAAACATTGAAACTACTGCTTTATCCTGCCTCCTGGACTGATGGGTGAAGCTACTGCCAGTTTAACATGGACTCAGATTCCAGAAAATATCTTGGAAGAAAGGGTAGCAGAGATTTCCATCAACTGTCCCCACTTCAGGTAAACATTTCTTTAACCAAGTGACCATTTCACCTGAAGAAGGAGCTCCAATATATAGATTGCAGGGGAGAGATTTTGTTCCCTTGCTTTCAGACAGAAGTAGAAAAATCAGAGATACGTGAAAAAAATACAAAAACTTTTATGAACTATGATGTGGTTCATAAACTTATTAAATTTCATTTTACCCAACACAAGTGGGAAGCAACAGGAAGAACTGAGTTTATTAGCTGTTAATTTTCACTATTAGCATAACCCTGTGAAAAAGGCAGCATGGTCTCAGGGTGCATCAGGTGAATTATTCCCAGGATGAAGCAGTAATGTCATGGTAGAGAGGGCTGGGAGAGCTTGCTCTGAAATACAGAGGATAGTGCATTCTGTTGAGTTGAAGCTTCAGGAGAACAGGATCACTGCTTGCTAGTTAATGCATCAGTCAGTTAATAATACAAAGGAGAAAACATTCCAGCTAAAGAGCAAGCTAAAAAGGAAACAGGAGGAAAAAGGAAAAAACGAAATCAAGTGGTATGAATTAGTCATACACAGATTTCCCATGTAAATTAAAAAGTTTTTAAACAACAGAGAATTGCATGAATCATGGAGTCAGGAAACCTCAATTGTATCAGTAAGCAATTAGTTAAGTTTTTGAAAAGGAATAAGGAAAGCAGAAGAGATGGGGGACCTAAAAACCAGAAGTTCTCTGACTGTAGAATTTCTATATCCCTACCTGGCCTACTTCCCTTAGTCAAACAATAAGAGCCTCCCATGGGTAGAAATCACATCTTTAACCAGGAAGGCAGAAAAGAATGAAAATGTAATGAATCTGAAGCACCAAAAAGTTCAAGTTGCTGGTGAAGAAGCAGCAGCAATAAGTTTGTAAAAGATCCTGTGTTCCCAGCAATTCAGTGCCTATGTAGTGAGGCAGCTAATGAAACAGGAATGGGAGTGCTGTACTCATGAGTCACTCTGTTTGGAAACCTTTACGTGCTAAAAAAAAAAAAAAAGAAAAAGAAAAAGAAAGGAGGAAAAAAAAACACGCCATGTGTTAGAAGTATCTTAGCCAAACATGTTCTTTCTCTTAAGCATACAACAAAACACAACTGTCCTCACAGTAAATATCCTCCGTTTTATTACTTTAGATCACTTTTCAGTGCTGTAATCATGTCATTAGGTTTGCAATTGGCTCCAAAAGAAGCAGCTATCTAAATATAAACTTCTTGCTTCCCAGTCCACTATGTCTGTGTTACTTTAGGAGGACAACCAGAATTCAGAGGGTCTGAGCCTACCAGTGACATTGATGGGAGTAGGCTCAATACTCCTTGTCAATGTCATACCTAAGGAGACTAATATTCTTCTCCACATTGCAGTTTGTAACACATTCAGGCAGTTCTCATCTTTTTCTATGAACTGAGTTAGAGATCTGCAGCAGAAAAAGAGAATATAGCAAGTCTATGTGAACAGCTGATGCACCACCAGCATTTCGATTGGTAACATTAGTTACTGGTATCAACCAATATTTTCTTTTGCATCCTACAGAAGGTAAGAGAAAATAAAATTAATTATTTTGCTTTTTATTATAGAGGAATTTAAATAGTAGACCACTGAAATCATTCTTAAACAAGTCTTTATAGGGTCACTACTGCTACTCCTAGGAACATATTGCTTCTTAACCTTTACTCTAAGATTTTGTACCTTACTGTGCAATATCCTTGAGGATAACAGCTTAGAAGCTTGGTATCAGCCCGTTACAGATAGAACAGAGACATAGCATGGGAATTCCAGTTGTTTTGTTTTCATAAGTTTTTGCAATATGTAATGGTTTATTTTCACTACCTCTGGAGCCAGGAAAGTTGCATCTGTCATGAGTAACTTCTGCAAAAAATATGATGGTAGAGACTGAAGAATAACAAAAATGCTTTCACACTGAGAGGCCTCTCCCTATAATAACAGCATTCATCAATAATTGTAATAGCAAGTGGCAGCAAGAATTAAGTGTCCTTAAACTACCTTTGTGCCTCTACACAGTTACACTGCCCCATCCTATAAAAAAGGCTAGAGATTCCCACATGATAAGACAGGTCTGGGCCAAATAGATGGAAACAGTAGGAAGACCATCTCCCAGGTGGTTCAGATAGATATCTAGACCAAAAAGCAAACAAACAAACAAACAAACAAACAAACAAAACCCAACTGGAAGTAGGTAACCTGCCCATAGAGTAGATCAGTGCAGCATGATCATGTTTAACTCCTCTTTTAGAGCTTTAGTACAGAAAATCAACCTCATATATTAGCTACTTTGTGAACAGAGCTCATAGATGCCTTAGCTTTTACATATGAGTTTGTCAGGCAACTAACAGAGTTCTTCAAAAAATTATGCAGTGCTTTAAAGTAAAATATTTTAGCAGCCTTGAAAAATGGATGGAAGTAGATGTTACCACCAGCTCCATCCCACCAGAGCTGTGTCCCCTAAGGAGTCCCAGCTCTGGAGATGCTGCTTCTTCATGTTTGGGACTTCCTCAGCAAGTATTTAGCTACCTCCTCATAAAGCAAAACTTTTACAGACAGAAATGATTGATGTCTGTTCTTCTATGGCCTTCACCTCCCTGTTTCTGGATTAAAGTGAGGGCTCCACAGGGTTGAGTTCCTCCAGAAAATCACAATAAAATCATGTCTGTTACCACATGGAGTAGGACCTACTCTATGAAGAAGCCACTTACCACGCCTGGGGGACTGCAAGCCAAAAGTTGCCCACCCAAGTGCCCCTTCTCTTTTAGGATGCTTTAGCAATTCAACAGAAGCATTTTGCTGCTCAGCCTCCTAGTGCTGTGGTTTTTGCCATGGGATATCTAACTTTCTCCACATACTCTGCAGAGTCTTGCTAACTCCCATCTCAAAGCACAGCTATGTACAGAGGAAAAAACAGCCCAGCACAGAGGAGAGGCAGTGGGGACAGCAGAAAGAAGCAGCCCCAGGCTGGGCTGGGAGCAGCTGGGAGGGAGCCAGATGGGCAATGAAAGGGGCACAGCCAGCTCCTCAAAAAAATAGGCTTTTAATTGTAGGGCATGTTGTAAGACACCCATGACATAAAGTTGAATTATTTTCATTTTTGCTCAAACAGCAAAAATGTAAATGCTGCTGTTTGCACAGAGAATTTCTTTTTTTTTTTTTAATGTTGTTGTTGCAAGGCAGCACTTAAAAGGAGGCTAATATTAATCATCTCCACGTAAGGCAAGTTTAAAGTAACACATCAGCCATTTACTGGGAGCAGCTGATGGGCAGTGGCCTGTTGTGCTGGCTGGTGTTTCTTCTGTGCGGGTATCAAATGGGTCCACGTGGCAGGAACAGAAGAGAGCTCCAGATGGGAGAGCAGTTCCATCTTTTGCAAAGTAAATCTGCTGTTTGAGGCTATATTATATGACTGAAATTTTATACATATGACTTTGTTGGAGCTGAGATCTCTCCCTTTGAAAATGTGCTACAATAATAATTGCATTTACCAGTTGCCAGTCCTTCTCGCAAAACATTTTTTTTTGTTGTTCCGATTGTGAAATTAATTGTCTCTAGCTAATGTAATTAAAAACAAACACTTCTGATTTCAGAGGAGGGAAAGGGGAGAGAAAGAAGAAAAAAAACAAAAAAAAAAAACAATAACAAAACCAAAAACACACAACTGCAGTCCTGGTTTTCTATTGACAAGAAAGCTCTGCCATCCCTGAACTGTTTAATTATTGAAATGAACTGTAACAGTACACTGGATTGTTGCCGAGGTCAGCGAGCAGTGCTGGATGTCAAGAGGAAAGCAGCAGCTCTGAGAGCCCTGCAATGCCCCAGGCTCCGTCTGAAAGCCCACACACTTTTTCTCAGGCATTCAGCCCCAGATAGGTAGCCTGATAGCACGGCCGATTTGCTGGTGTTACAGAAGTCCGACGGTGCTTGCTTGTTTTAAGACAAGCCAAACTATGCTCTGGTGACCACCGTGACGCTGTGATTCCCATGCCCTATCGCATTCCTCTTTCTCAGATCCCAGGCATTTTTTTTTTCCCCTACGTGCAGTCCAGGATGTAGACAAATGAATTCCAAGTGACCTATGTGGGGGTGGACTCTTTGGAAACAAACAACAAAAATAAGATATCTCCTGTCCTCACTTTTTCATTTGCTTGTTCCCTGGATACAGTTTGTTCGTGGCAATGAAACACACATTGTGTCTCTGGAGTGAGATCCAGCAGCAACATCTTTACCACCCCCTTTTTTTTTTTTTTTTTCCTCCCTTTTCCCTTTTTCTATTCTTTTCCTATTTCAGTCCTTACAAAAGGAATCTTGTTTTACGTTATCTGCTCCTTCAGATGCCAGGTTGCCCTTTAAAGCATATCATAGCAAGGATTTCTATTGATATAAATGCTTTTTTTTTTTTTTCTAGACAAGTTCAAGAAACTGCAAGTTTTGAAAAAATGCATGTGCATATCTGCAACTGGCAGCAGGATCTGCTTGCAAATAATCACTGTGTATCCAGGGAAAGGGAAAAAACTACTTTTGAAACTTTTGACGTGGAGAAAATTCTGTAGATAGAAAAACTGCTGGAAAGAAATAAAACTGCAGTTGGGGGAACAGACAATAAACATTTCAGATTGCTTTATGGCTCACTATTACAGGCAACTATCTTGCTTAAGTAGGCATAACATTTTTCACAGTATATATTTAAGGTTTTATTATGGTTTGGATGAACAGCAGGAAACCATCGCTCTTGAAGGGAGGGGAGAAATAATTTTTGCCAGCCCAGTGGTCTGGCAGGTAGCAAAAGGTACTTTGTAAAAAGGACATGGGTACGTGATTCAGTGTGGTCTGAGCAATGCCCTGCGTGGTGTCCAGCCATGCGGGCTGCTTGCAGTGGAGGATGCATGCATGGGAGTGATGAGGTAGAATGGACCCTAGGGACCAGCACCACTCATACTGGGTTAGCTGCACTGGGGCTTTTACTGGGGCACCAATGGAGAACACAGCCTTACAAACAGCCTAACGTTAGGGGCAAGCATAGGAGCATTTGGGGCCACTGCAGGCTCCTCTGGAGCAGCACTCCAGGACAGTAAGTTACGCAGAGACATCCACCTCCGGGCTGCCAAATCCTGACAGCTCAAAACAATGGAACAAAGAGTAACGGGAAAAGAACAGTCCACACCAACGCATCCAGCATTGTCCTGGATTCCCTTCGGCTTGCTTACAATGAGTGACGTCCTTCGGTCTGGGGTGCACTGCTTCTGCCAGGATTGACCCCAGCCCATGCCCCAAACTTGGGAACCATGCCACAGCCAACAGCGACCCATGTATAAGTCATTATGCAAGACAAATTGAAGTCACTTGATTTTCATCATTATTATTCCCCACGGAGCAATAGCTTGCCCCTCTCCCCACTTTACTTCTGCCTCCATTTATCCCACCGTGACCACCAGTAATCCAGACCCTTCAGAGCACAGGATGGGGACAAAACCTTCCAACAGGCAGAGTTTCCCTGGCAAAGCCAGGCAGAGCCACGAGGAGCTAATCTCTGTGTACGTTACATGAACTGAAGTAAGTAATTTAGCAGCTTATTTCCCTAGGTAGTCAGTGACCACTGTATGTCCCTGCTATTTAATTTGGCAGTTAACCTTCTGAGGACTAGTAGTCATTTTAGATTAACCTTTGTATCTTAAAAATTAGTAAGCAATTTCCTTCAGGATATTATTATTTGTCTTTTAATTGTTAATTTTTCCACCTATTTCCAATGGTCATCTCATCTCCCACATTTTTTGCCCTTTTTAATGCATCACTTTGTGGATCAGAGTTGGTGGAGGGTAGAGGGACGGATTGCTAAGAAATTGGAAAAGATTTTAAAAGAAGTAAGACGAAGCATTTGTGCCATAGTTTACAATTATAATAAAATAAATCTAGAAACCATTTCATGTATGAGAGCATGTATATTAGAAAAAAATTTTGCTTTCTATAATGGATAACCATCTTAGGAACAGTAGAATGTGAGTAATTTGTCAGTTTTTCTTTTAATTAAAACTGTGAATATAGTTCATGCACTGTTTGATTCAGCATCAGCATTTTGGATGGGGGCTAAAACTGATTTCCTCTTAAATCTGTGGGTTTCTCAGGACAACTAGTGAAGTGTGCCTTAATATTAAGCTCTTGAACCCAAGAGAGGTTGGCTTGTTCCAAGACCAGTAAATCAACAGATATTGGAGTAATAGCTCTAATAAGGCTCAAGACTTCTATCACTTCTGTAAATGCTCTTTTTATCAAAACAGCATCCATTTTTCCTCTCAGACAACCTGTTTTAATTCATTGCATCATTACCAAGCTGGTCCACTGTAAAATGAATTAAAATCATGCTAGTTAGAATGGATTCATTCTAGGTATTTTTCTCAATGCAATCCATGGAACATATAATTTTTATTTATTTTTATTTATTTATTTATTTTGACAAGCAAGAAATCTGCCTGACTTAACTCTGAATCATATTTTTTTATCGTTGCTACCTTGAATTTTTCGTGGGAGATAATTTAAACCAGTGTGAATTGAGGGTGGTCTATTCCCACCTTGCAGTGGGCAGGCACATGATACCCGTGCCCATTCCAGAACCGTATCATCCAAAATGCAATACTGGTGCAAGCGTCCAAGTGGAGAGGAACAGTGTGTTCCTTCTGCAGAAATGTGAATGCATGAATGTTTTTGGTTGGTTTTTTTTGGCTGAGAAGAAGAGGATGAGCACAGAATATTGTATGGGTTGGGTATCAAAGTTTGCATCCTTCTGATTCTGCTCATCTCCCACATCTCCCTCACCATAGTTTCACCATTCAGGGGGCAGAACTCATTGTTATGGTTCCAGGAAACTCTCATCCCTTGCAGTACTCAGCTTTAAGTTTTAGATCCTGCTACCTTGCCTGTTTTCATAAATACCCACAGCACTCAATAAAATTAAAACATCAATGAACAAAACAGATCCATATGAAGTTTTCCCCACAGATTAGGAAAGGAGAGAAAGAACATCTGGTGGAGGAGTGTCGTGTTGCTAAATATGTTCACGTTCCATTCTGATAGGTGAGTATAGCCATCATCTAACTTATCTGTAATGTACCTGATTGCTCCTTGGATCAAAGCCTGGGGGATGCAAAGGAAAAGGCTGAAGACTGAAAAAGTGCAGCCAAAAAAATAATAATAATAAAAAAAGGAAACGTTCAAATGTATACAGTAAGCACCATGATAGTCCCCTTTTGTGAGAAAGAGCTCTTACTTGATTCCCTGGGAATTACTTGAAGACAAACATGGTGAGAATTACTTTGGAGAGAATTTGAGAGGAAACACACCATGAGTAAGAGGAGCAGATGCATCTTGAGAGTTCAGAATTCTTCCTGTGTCTAACTTTATATGCCCTTTCCACAATCTTCCACTAATTCTTCTACACTGATAGTCTATAGAACTTAATTACGCAAAGTTTTTAAAAAATCCTTATATAAAATGCATAATGCCTGATATCTGAGTCACAAGCACAGCTAATGTAATCTAACACATATTGCGGGAACCTACTGCACACAGATATTACCAATTAGCACATGATTTTAACAATCAACATTCATGCAATTAATAGAACACTTCATATTCCTTCTAATTTTGAGCTCTGCATGAGCATATGTTATCATGACGGAATGTGGGATCATTTATTTATACTGGAAGCAAGGCTCCACACAGAAAGCTGAGACGCTGAAAGTTAGCTTAGAAGGGAAAAGGGTTCAGTTTTGCATTGAGAAATAAATACTTGCAGTCTGATTTTTGAAAGTCGAGCTGCATACTTACCTTCTCCACGATTCTAAACTTCTGAAGGGGAAACTGTGCTCTGATTGCAGCCAGGGAACACAACCAGCAGTGAATCAACAAGCAAGTGAACACTTCTCCCTAGGAGTGGAGAGCACAATGTCATCAAGATCCATGAGAAAGAAATAACCATATTGTCATGTTGTATTACTTAGATATTTTTGCATTTAAAGATTATAGTAGCTGAACATCTTGTTTTCTTTAGTATGTTTTTTGTCATATTTTACTGTGATTAGGGGGGAATTATTATTCTTATATGCCAGATGAAGAACAAAAGTATAATGAGATTAAGTCACATCCCCAGAGTATTTAGGCACCCATTCCCATCAAATTCCACAGGATTAAGGCATTTAATACCTTTAGGGTCTGGTCCCATCTCCTTACCTCACTGCAGAGGAAGCAGTGAGCTGAATCCCTGTTCATAGAGCCCTGATAATTGCCAGCCTACCTGACTTGTCTGCTTGTTCTGGGGTGCTAACATAAGCAAAAAGCAATAAAAACTTACTTTAATTACTGAAATCATAGATGCATTACTAGCTCATTAGGGAGAAAAGCTGTTTAGTACAGAGGTGTGTTTTTTTTTACACGTAGGTTGGAAAGAACCACAGTGCTGTTGCTGCTGCATTCCCAGTCTGCCACCACGAAGAACTTCAAAACACAGAGGTTGCACGAGTCTTCCCTCCAAAATATCCTCATATCTGCAGCTTCTTGCAGAAAAGTCCCACATGTTCCCCACCAGTGAAAACATTCATGCAGGCTTCACACCCAGCAGCTCGCCCTGCGAGCTTCAACCAAGGTTAAGCCAAGGCCACACTGTGCCTTGCTGACCTGCACCTCATTTAGGAAGCTGCCTGCTCTAATCTGCCTTTCTAAAAATCTTGAAAAATCCAACAAGAGTGACATACAGCCCTCTTCCACTTGCAGGTGATGCATCTGACAGCAGAAGTGACCACACTGCCTGCTCCTCACCTGTCCAATGGGCAAGTGACAGCATTGAGCCCAAAGCCCTTTGGCCTTTGCTTCAGGAACTGCTCTAAACCTCTGCCTCAGGAGGATGTTGCTGCGGGGAATTTTCCTCCAGCAGCGGGAACCAAAGCAGCTGCAAGAGCTGCAGATGTAGACTCTAAATCATCGTGTCTTTCCCTCTTTCAGGACAAGCTCCTGAGAGAATTTGGTTTACCACACATCTGACGTGCGTTTATGTGTTGAGGAATGGGAGTAACGCAATGATTCTCAGGGCATAACTATTGTGAAAAACATCAGAGGAGTTTTCATCTCCCTCTTTGCTTTTCCCACCCCCCTCAAGGTAGCATTCCCACAGCATCACCTTTGGGCTAGCTGCTGTTCCAAACTAAAACATATCATGGTAATCTATAAATGGCCGAAGAAATGAGAGATTTCACCTGTGGCTGCAGTGTTCTTATACTTATCTCAAGGGCTTTTCAACTAAATTTAGGTAAGCAAGGAGGAAAGGGCTCTGAACATCAGTATCCAGTGTCTCGACTGTATGCCTTGAAACAGATGTGCCGGGAAGGCAGTCTCAATTTCCTTGTGGAAATTGAGAGGATACACAACAGTAAAGAAATAAGAGAGGGGGAAAAAGAAAGAAAACCTTCATGTCTCAAACTGAGTTTGCCTGAGGTAACTTCAGTCCAGGTAATAGAGCCTCACTGGTGTCCCTGGCAGAGTGGGAAACTAAGGGTAAAGGCTTTCATGCTGACTAAATATCAAGAGATACTCCTTTTTTTGTTGTTGTTGTTGCTGATATCAATAGTAAATATCCATTTTTTTTAATCATTATTTTTACTGAAGGCTTTACTGCACAAAGAATCCAGGGGGAACAGAAAATCATATAATTGTGCAGGTTGGGGAATTCTCTAAAAATACGTAACCATGACACCCTTGTCATTGCCAATCAAGTAATCTTGAAAAAAAAAGTACAATAATTAGCCTTTGAGAAGAGTATAAGGCTAATTAAAAATGACAACTTAGTCATCTCCACAAACAGCACAGAACCAGTCAGTAGTTCTAAGCTCAGTGTGATGCAATACCTTCACCTGCCAAAGGGGCCTTTCTTCAAGCGCATCGAAAGAAACCACTGTCATAGGATAACATTTTTCCTTTGTTCTAAAATTTGGATTTGCTTCATCTACCATACGGTACATCTTTTGGTTCTGCGTGTGTGTGCGTGTTTTACTGTCTTCTACTAAGACTTTTGCCACCTATCAGTAATTTTTATAATCTAAATGACATTTAGGAGCATACAAAGTCATATAAAACAAGACTATAAAATGTGAAGCATGAGCATATGCATTGTCTGAAAGACTTACAAGTTACAATTAATAACTTCATCCTCGTAACAAAGTTTGTTCTTCAAGACTTCCTAAAAAATAGCCAAAATCAAAAAGAAACTCCCAATCCTTCATTTATGCAAATATTTGGGGCTTCTGCACTCCCACAGATGTTAATAGCAATGTCTTAATTAACATTTCGGGAACAAGAGTGAATATTACTTCTTCTATTGGCATAAAAAATGCTTGAGGAGGACACATTTTCAGAAAGTTATCACAGTTGCTAACACTTTTCTGTACAGATATCTTGCAGGTATAGAAGACAACAAATGCCTATCCTTCCAAATCCTAAGGTTCTAAGTATTTTCTAACATACAGTGCTAATGCATATAATTACATATATTTGCTACAGCCAGTAGTCCATGCTACCTTATTGCTTGAAGCCCATCTGCATTGAAGGATTAAGGTGTGCTAACCTGTGGTGTGCACAAACATCTTAGACTCCATGAACTCTTGGTGCAACTCCTGAGCACATACCCACTGGCTTAGGTTCCAAAAGAGCCAGCCAGTCCCGCCATGCTTTGGTCCAGTCCAAACACCGGTGTCAGCAGATTCAGCTGCGTGCTGCTGGCACTTCATCCCACTAAAGCAGTACTTTCAACCACACAGAGGAAATGCAGGTTTGATCCTCAGAATAGGAACTGATGGGCAGAGGAAAAGAAGTTTTGATCAGATTTTCCCTGCTAGTGTTTGACTATAGTTTAAGTTCCAGCTTGCTAGAACAGAATAATGATTTAGGGAAGCCCTTAGGCTGCAGAAACACAATGCATTGGAAACAACCTGCAAAACAGAATGATAGTGACTCAGAGCAAGAGCTGAAAACTTAAGCTCCTTTGACTTACCGGACGTAAGAGGACATGAGTTGGTAAAATAGTTACAGATGTGTATCTACACCAAATAAAAAGACCTTGCAGCCATACAGAAAAAAATGTATCTGCCTGTGCTGCACTGCTTCCACTCCTATGAATGCTTGAAGCAAAAATTAAACGTTTGCTTATATTTTGAACAAATGTTGGATAAAACAAAATTCTGAGCAATGTTGAACCAGATAAGGACCTTGATCCTGCTCTGTAATGAATCGTAAGGTGCAGTTCAGAGAGGCCAGCTCTGACTTAGGAAAGCAAGTCTCCCTAAGCTTCCTCTGCAGTTGGAGGGGATCATCCATCTTCAGCTGTTGCAAAGAGGCATCGTTCTATTCAAGTACATGGAAACAGACCAACATACACAGGCTGACTATCCCAGGCTGCTATCCCAAATGTACAGACCTGCACTTCTTAATATGTAATTCTTTACATGCCAAATGTAACGGCATTGGAGAATCTTTCTGAGCTTCGATTTGCAATCTTCTCATTGAAAACATTTCCAGTGTCAAATGGGCCTTTTAACTGAGGTCTGCATTTGATGCAATTTTGAATGATTCTATGGTGGTTTTTTTTAATTCTCTATTTATTTTAAAGAAGATTTTATATATATTAAACAAGTTTTTACAGCTCCTCAAGGAATCAGTCTTTTCAATAAGCTTACCGGACAAGCAGGTGGTTTGGTCTCTGGTTTTATTTGGTGCTATAGAGCATAGGGAAGATAAGCAAAGTGTTGTTTTCTCTTCCTTTTTTTGCTTTCCCCAAGCAAAAATTAAATTTTTACAGGAATGAAGCAGTTATCTACAACACCTGCAAAGAGAAAGCATCTACTTGATCTTTTGACATTACACTTGTTTCTGAAGGAAAGGTGGGAATGGAAATAAGATATCTTGTGTAGTAAAGAGAGGAGAAAAGAGTAAAATCTCCACTTGTTCTTGTACCTCTCACCAGACCTACAGACCTTACACTTAATTCCAAGTTTAACCTGGACAAATAAATGGAAAAAAATACACTGTGAGGAACAAGCCTACGCTGGCAGTAGAGCGGGTTTGATGACCTAATAGTTCTTTTTCCGTCCCTGATTTCTTTGATACTATTTATAAAAGGGAAGCAAAAACGATGGGCCACTCCAAATAAATTGTTAGCATAAACAAAGAGCAAGCATCAAAATTGGCAAATGCCTCTTTAAGACTTGTGTGGCTCGTGGAGCCAGGGAAAAGACTAATAACGCACCTCTCTGAAGGTCCTGGGCTATGTTTATTTCCCATATTTATTTAAAAGAAAATCAAAATACTTTTAAGCAAGTCAGCTGGTTCCAAATTTAGGAACAATTGAACAAAGAGGAATCTGCTAATTCCAGATGGAGTGCATATAGTCCCTTGGCACTTATTACTTACCAAATGTTTCAGAAAGCAAACACATGACCTAAAGGATTTTGTGAGTGTGGGGTCCTCAAAAAAGCTCTTAACAAGTCATGTCTTTCCAACCATATTTACTTTACCCACACACAAAAACCCACTTAGTTTTCTCATTTTTTTGAGGTGGGGGGGATGGGGGAGGATTGGGGTTTGAGGATAGGGGGGGGGGAAGAGCAGACAGTGCTCCCTTTAAAGACTATTTATGTACAATCCAGTTATTCCACAAGGCCAGGGGCTCTGTAGGTGTCTTCTTTGAAAGGCTTCAGCTGTGGAGCATCTGCTCCCTGTGCACGAAGGCCACCTTTCCCTGCACCGTGGCTGGTGGAGGTGTTAGCTAATGCAGGAGCCCTCCCATGCTGCGGTGTGGGAAACAGGCACCCACAGCCAGCTCCTTGTCTCAGAAAGCCAGCACAGGTTTTGTTTGATTTTTCTTACATCTGGTCCTTTTCATGCACCCAGTCGTATCCCGACATCCTGCAAATGGATGCTATAGGAAACTGAGTCCGATAAACACAATTAGGAATTATTTTTTTTAGTGAGTATTGGGTTTCATTATTATAATTGTTTCATCCCCAAATTAAATACTTTGGGGGAAGTATAAATTAGAAAAAAAAAATAGAAAAAAAAAAGAATTTGAAACAGTTTTGCCCAAAATAAAATAATCCTGTGGAGGTACTTCCCTTTGCAGCAGTGATCCAGCCCCATGAGCACACCAAACCTTCCCATTTTCTGCTGTCCATATGGGAGCACTTCCTACAAAGGGTCTGTCCTCTTTAGCTGGTGGGACAAGCCCATCCCCACCAAAGGGGCAGAAACTAAGAGACCAGGCTGTGAAATAAAAATTGGGCTTAATTAACGTTTTCTATTTCTATTATTAGTTTTAACATTAGGACAGTATGGATAAAATACTAATTTATTTATATATATATATAAATTAGTATATATATATATGTATATATATATATAAATAAATATGCTTAAAAAATGCAAAAAAAAAAAAAAAAAAGCCAAAAAACAAAACAACAACAACAAAAAAAACAAATTAAAAAAAAAATTGAACTGAGTTTCAGAGAGATCTAAAAAAAAGATTTTTTACTGTTTTAAAAATGGATAAGTGTAATTTAGTTACAGGTTTTGTGTGAGATCTATTTCCTTAAGGCTTCTCTTTTTTTCTTTTTTTGTTTTTTAATAGAATCACAAGGGTTGGAAAAGACCACTAAGATCATTCATTCCTACTGCTAACCCATAAATAGCTAAAGGAAGGTAGGAGGCAAATGGATGAGGTCAGGCTTAGCTCTTCTTGGTGATGCATAGTGATAGGACAAGCACTAATGGCCTCTGTGGTTGGACTTGATGATCTTGAAAGTTTGTTCCAACCTGAGCAATGCTATGTTTCTATGATTCCAATATTTGAACATAGGAATTTCCACACCAACATGTGGCAGAACTTATTTACAGTAAAGGAGATGGAGCACTGGAACACACTGCCCAGAGAGACTGTGGAGTCTCCTATGGAGATATTCAAGACTTGGCTGGATGCCTTCCTGTGCAACCTATTGTAGGGATGTTGGTCTCAAAGGTCTCCTAAGATCCTTTCCAACCTCTGTCGTTCTGTGAGTACATTAAATTATGTGATTACACATGAAATTTAGTTACATAGTTTGAATAAGGTCTCTTTCCTTAAGGCTTATCTTTTTCAATTTTTTTTTCCATAGAATCATAAAGGTTGGAAAAGACCACCAAGATCATCTCATCCAACTGTTAAACCCATTGACCCATTCTCTTTTCACTCTTGTTTTAAAACTGTTTTTAAACTTCTCTTGTTTTAAAAACCCTCATTTACTCTGTAACCCTCTTACCAGGACCTGAATAGATGTCATATTTTCACAACCGTGGACTCACACCAGAAAGAACCTGAAGACAAACGTGCTTATTTCAGTGCAAGAGCCAGCCCCACATGGGCTGCCCACTGATAGAAATGTGTCTACCCAAACCACGCTACCACAATCTCCAAAGTTTTTTGCACCGCCACTATTTCTCTGCAAATCCTTAAGCTGCACCAGCTGACTCCACCGAAAAAAATTATTTTACATTTTTTAACTGAAATGCTTTTTGTTTTTATTTTAATGAATCCCCTAACTCCGAGTTTAATTAAACTCATGTTTTTTAATTAATTATCAACAAATGCAAATAAGGGAAACTACACAAACATGCATTCACCGTTCACAGATAGATACAGTTGTTGTTTTTTAATCCTCAAGAGTCAGGATTTGAAAATCTTTAAGTCTTGAGGGTCACAGCCCCCAAATTATTTTCAGTTGGGGATTTATGAGAGTATCTTCCTAGTGAATGGCAGGGAGCTCAATTGCTTAAAGGAACATAAAGCAAACTGCAGTTTCATTAGCTTAACCGAGTTGTTCTAGTTAAACAACGGTACAAGTCAGCAGAATTAAGCTTCTGTGTAAGTTATTAGAAGAGAAGCGTAGAATGTAGGAACTTCTTCATCAGAATTGTGTACAGTTAATAGTCCTAAATGCTGACAAACGCAAATGCAGGCATATTAAGTACTCTCTCTGGTTATCCAGGTTCAGCTACAACAGAAATCCTAAAAGGAGGAAAGCAGAGTTCAAGCAACAAACCCCAAGCTCTGAAAGCCAGGAAACACAAATTTAAGGCATGGAATATGCTCATGCTTAACACTTGGAAATTGCAAGCACCTCAAGGCAGCACTCTCCTGGTACTTGCAGTGGCTGCCAGTGCCTGAGGACATTTCACAGGGGGGTTACCTTCTTTCCTGTATAAGAATCATTATTTTCAGCATGAAATATTTCAAAATCTCACGAAATATTACTCTGAAGAGCTTCTCTGATGACTTTTTAAACTTAAAATACCATAAAAGCAGCCTGTCCTGTTTCCAGAGCCAATACATAGGATTATTTAAATTGCTACAGCGAGAAGCCAGGAATCTTTGTTTCTGTTCCCTTCTAGGCCTGACATAGATGAATTTGGCCATGTCCACTTGTCCCATTTAGATCTCAGAGCCCCAGAATGACTTCAGTTCACATACAGTGTTCTCCAGCTTGCTTAACCCTGAGCTGGGCGATGAGTTCTGACCTTGCTGGAACACGGCCCAGAGCCCAGCTCAGAATCCCATGCTTGGCACCAGGCACAGCCAGCAAAAAGCCCCTGAGCACTGTGCTTTCACCTAAAAGCAGCAGGTAAATCTGGTTTTCCTGCAAGGCAAAATAATTTCTTGTGTGCAGCAAAGCCACGTACCTATGGAAACTGTGTTCAGCAACATATCCTTCATGTTTCCACTTCTGTATATTTACATGAAATGATATTCAGAGTTTGTATGTTTATACCCATACACTCTATGTCAGTCACTTCTACTTATCCCCATCCCATCCTCCTCCCCAAAATATCAGGCAGATATCTCTGCCATTTACTATGGAGCAGGTTGAGTGTTTTTTTGACACCAAAGTATCTGCACTTCCTTAAAAGGCTTTATTGCCCCACAGGATGCAATGTGTGAATGCATTCGTTCTTCGTGCTTCTTTCCCCACCAAGATTAAAAATAATATCTTAGAGGCATGCCTATGTCATACAGCTTTGGGGCAAGTGGGAATTTTTCTGATTCTATGTCCCCTCTGCATCCCCAGATGAAAAATGGGAATCAGTCACCCTTAATGAACTTATGCAAAAAATGTAATTATGTTAAGCTTATCTAACTGACATATTTTGAGGAGGTTAACTGAAAGATGTCAGATGTGCAAAGTTATTTGTTGTGTTTAAAGATACTTGTGCTCTCATCCTTGGGAAAATTCTTCACGTTCCCCGTCCTGCTGCACTTAGCAATGATCCTATCTTGATTGCGTTCCAGTTACTCCGTGTCAAAAATAATCAGGAAGAGGAATGATAAAGCGCGAGAGCAATTCTGGGGAAGGCTGCACTCCCAGAGACACCTCCTTCCCCTGCTTGCCCAGAACACATGCAAAGCAAAACAAAACAAAACAACAAGAAGAGATCTGTGTCCACCCACCTCCTGAGCAGTACGATGGTCTGAGCACAAGAGGATGGAGTGCACAGATCGTTGCTCCAGGCACACAGAACCTGGGCTCCCACCCAGCCGGGCCTCGGTGAGGTGGGATTTTCCTTCCTTAAGAAATATTGCAAACAGAAGATTCCCATGTTTGAAAGGTCAGAGGAAAAAATATAATGCACTCATGAAGAGACAACCTCATTAATCCTGTTGTTCTTGGCCCAGTCAATAGAAGAAACATAAATGCTGTCAGCACTGCGCCGCTAGATAAAGGATAGAAAGTGGGAATGAAATGTTTTACTGCAAGGACTGTTCTGATGGTTTGAGAACATTTCTGGAAATAACCTGAGCTGAGAAAATGTTTCCTAGGAGGAATACATGCTGTGGGAAACTGGGTGGAAGATAAAGTTTGGTCAGTGACCTTCTCACTATCCTCTAATCACACAGCACGCTGCTCAAAGAGAGAAAAGGGGAAAAGAAAGGGATATTGTGCAGGCAGAGATGTTGTACCTTCCTGGCACTACATGAAGTGAAGTGGAAAACACAGTGGTATCATAAATCTCTATTTCATGCTCTCGGATACTGTAGTGAAATAATAATCGACTGTAGCTAGTGGGAAAAAAAAAAGCATTACTTTTGGTTTAGGGCACTATAAGAGCACAAAACGCAATACACTTTTAGTGAGCATAAAAACAAATGACAAAGTTGCCAAAAGAGGAGCATGCCTTTCCGTCTGCATAACATTAGAAATGGAGAGAGAGCATCACAGCTCCCCAAAAACAACAGTGGCAGAGGGGATCTCTTCCATACAGGTGGCTCCAGGAGCCATCCGTGGCCAAAAGCTCTGCTTAAATACACACACGAGTGCATCAGCAGCGTTTGGATGCTGTCTGTGTGCAGAGTGAGTAAATATTAGCATACGTGGGTACTCTTGGGAAGATTAGGAAGCCATCAAATACAGCTATCCACAGCGTTCTGCACACTGAGAGAGCATTAGAAAACTCCTTACTTTGGCTATTTGCAGGGAATATCACTTTGCTTTTCTTTCTTTCTTTTTTTCTTTCTTTCTTTCTTTTTTTTTCCCTTCTCTCTTTTCCCTTAAAAAAAAAATAAAAATAAAAATAAAAAAATCCTGCAATTAGTCTGTCTAAAAAGCAGTCATTTCAGGACTGGTGCTACAGAAATGCCAAGACTGTTCTGATTTCTGTATCAAGCCTTTGAAAAACACAGCGCAGCCCTCTTGAAGCAGCACCACTGCGGTAAAGCCACAGTACAGAAGTTGGGTAAATATTTTTCTTGTGCTCATCAGTAGCTGGCTGTTGACAAACATCCTCCTAGAGTGGTAATGCAGGATAATGCTGTCATTACCGGGGGATAAACACTGCGGTTGCAGCACGTCTCCGTTGCTCTCTCAAAATAGAGGGCATGCAGAGAATTATACAAGGTCTCCCAAATATTTCATCAATCAGCACTGAAATAATTGCAGAAGTGACTGGTGAGGTAGTTCAGAGAAAAGGCAGGATGAGTCAAACTGCTCAAAGTAGAGATAAACCTTTCCATTTTTATTTTTCTATATCTTTTTTAGATGTTCTTAGAGAAAAAAGGAAATGGACTGGACAGAGCAGGATTTCTGTCTGTCTTCTTCACTTGCTGGTTGCCTATCAGACATGAAACAGAACGGGTGCAATAAGCTATTCTCTTATTTTTCTTCCATCCATCTGGAAACAAGAACTACCAGAAGTCTGACAAGGAAGCCTGATCTCCAGCCAGATTTCTAGAACTGTTA